GTGAGCACATTCACGTACTGGACAGCAGTAGATCTATGCCTAACATTTGGAGGAGTCAGCGTGGGACAGAGAAGTCCAAACATCATGACAGTTGCCCAGGACTGGCATATTTCTCTATTTCAGGCCAGCGGGAGATGAAGCCTGCCACCCTGTCCAGTTTAAAGGGATTCCTTCCAAACTAGTTGCTATGTTTTGCAGGGCCCACTCCTATGCCAAGAGCACAGTGCTACTTAAAAGAGTCCCCAGTCCCCTAATTGTGCAACAAGTTGTTTTATACTAGTCTTTTCTTGGAGTGAATACAGATATCTGCTTGTTTTGAATACAGATATCTTATAACAGTTAAAACGATTGATGCCCCTAAACAACAACTTCAAAAAACTGCAAGGCCCATGAGGTTCCTGCACATATTTTCCTGTGGCTACCATGACTTCCATCTGCATAAGAGGAGACATAAAACCCTTTTGGGTGTCTTGGAAGCATCCTGAATTATTAATGGGTCTTCATGACACATTTCACTGAAGCTTCCCTCACAGTATTTACAGGCTGAGTCTTTTTCTCTTCCGTCCAAGAAAAAGAATTTCCTTGACCTGATTATCCTGATTTCAAACAAATAATTTTTGTTTGAAACTCACTCCTCACTGAACTCAGCTTGTCCCGTGATATCCGAAGGGCATCTATTTCTCCTGAGGCCATTTATGCATTGAAACATAATCATCCTACTTGCTGTTGCTGTGTTATAACTAATGGTCTGTGTGGTAGGACATAGGTTAGCTGCCGGAAAATATTAGGCTTCCAATATTAGATCTTGATGTATGTTATCCCACTAGGATGTGGTTTGATTTGCCTAAATCATATCAGTTTCTATAACCTTCATTTTATTTTAAAGTGAGGTCATTCTCAGTGAATTCACAGCCTTCCTATGAAAGCTACATTCTATTCCCATCTAAAACCCAGAGTCTTCTATTCTGTTTTTAGTGTTCCATTCACAAAATCAAGAATAATATATACCCCTATGAGCCTTCTTAGACATACTCGGAACGCAGCTGATTTTGTTCATTACAACCAAGAAACTTTCTCAGAATTTGAATATTAGGGCTTAGAGTTACACAGTGATGTGTCAGATGAGAATTGTACAACACCTCTTAGGGCCATGTGCACTACAGTTCTCAGAGATTTCTTCCCAAGTAGTATTTTTTTGTAGTACATATAAAATAAGGAACAAAGATACAAATACATTACTATAGTTCCAGTTAGTCATCAACAGTCAGTTGAGTTTGTCATCCTAACCTGTGGTCAAAATGTCTCTCAATATCCAGCCATGGTGGGACTTAGGCAGCTTATTCTTCCGCCCTCTTTTTAATCAGCCCCAGTGTGGGTCAGGTGGAGAACGAGCAGCTTCTGTGAGCCTAGCGGTGCATGGGCTGAGAATCAAACACCCTCCCTACCCCCATAGCTCCTGCGGGTAGATGTCTCAGCATCTCTTAGGAGGATGACGCTATGCAATATAGCAAATATGGGGCATTTCCCTCTATCTTCTGTTTGAAGGCAAAAGTTGCTTTTGCAGTTTTGTTTTGTTATGTTTCTTGTACACTGTTCAATACTCTCAATTGGTTTTATAATGTTCTGTTTTTGGTTTGATTTCACTATACCTAATTAACTGGACAACTATTGTGAAGATAATGCGATATAATATAGTACCATTACTACCATCCCAGTATCCTACTGTGAAGTTCTGTACCAATTTCACTGCATTACCTTGATTGACTTTGTTCTGTCTTATTCCTCTGTATTTTTACTTCTTTCAACATTAATTTTAAAAAAGTCTGACAACATAATGTCCTCAAAAATTACAATTTCTGTTTAACACATTCCATGGGAGATTAGGTCCAAGGAGCCCCTCATCTATAGAGCTCCATGCCAGAGTGGAATTATCCATGCACGGTCCTTTCGTACATACCTCTTTGTGAGATGAGGTCATCTCTCTCAAAGGAAAACTTCATTTTTGCTACTCATTTCTATTATTGTTTCTTCCTGAGCAATTCTTCACTTTTTACTTCACAATGTACTGCTCAGTGGAAGCGGTGAAACAAATTTTAAAACATTGGATCATGAATTCAATGTTCTTTCTGTAGCTGTTTAGAATTTAAATTTTAAAACCTCTCATGTCTGTTGTAGCTTTTAATAACCATTACCCATGTCTGGCCATTGGAAGCTTTTACTGTGAAGATTTTCCTGTGTCTCTGAAGCTCACAGGCTTGGCTACGACTTGAAGATGCTGGCCAAAGGGCTTGCAGGTTCCCCCAACCCCAAGCACAGCATGCTAGGTCTGGCAAGCTTTCCTCTCCTAGTGGTTGAGCAAAACAAGCCCCGTCTGTGTTTTAATCTTACAGAGGATTCAGTGAAAGAAAATTATATTTTTCCTATTCACTCTCAAGATAAAGAAGAATATTCTGCAACTATTTTAAGGACATCACCTAGGTGTCCAAACCCCATTGTGATGGTGAGTCTTGTTTGATAACATGACTGCAATGAGAGACACCCAGGAGATTAATAATGCACACATCCGGGAGTGTCTGGTGGTTATGTGGGACAGGACGTCGTGGGCTACATCTAGTCCCTGGCCCTTTGTCACTGACTCTTCTGGGCTTACTTTGCTTCTTGACTGGGATTAGGTGCTCAGTTTTTCCTGCCAGGCCTTTCTGCCATGGTGCTTGCTTCAGAGCCAGCTGACTCTCTAGACTGAATCTCAGTTAAAGAACCAAAACAATGTTTTCTTCCTTGAGTTGTTTCCTTGGATATTTGATCTCAGTGACAAAACATGGCAAATACTGTACACATCAAAATTATGATAATCATTTGCTTTGTTTTGCTTTTACAGTTCAGGGGTCCATCATTACACAAGCTTGAAGTTTAGTACTGGAAATAGTTCTGTTTGGTTTTCAGATTTGGGTAGGATTTGTGATATCCTGCCCTTCTCTCTCACCCTTTCTTTTCCTTCCTCTCCTTCCTTTCCCCTCTCCTCCCCTCTCATCTCTTTTTTAAATTTGTTTTGGAGCTGGGAATTTAACCCAGGTCTTTACAATCACTAGGTTCTCTTCCACTGAGCTGCATTCCCAGTCTTCGTACCTGTTTTTTAGTAAACATTTTGATCAAGATATTCAGCAAGACATTCAGGGTAACCAGAAAGGCAGAACCTTTCCTCAGAGAAGATGGCAGAAAAGAAATTTCAAGTAAATCAGAGCGAGCAATACATCATCAAATGTTTTGCTTCGAAGAATGGCAAACACCAAAAGGAAACTTGTGAATATTTATACAAAGATTAGGCATGGTAATTTTAAAGCTGGCCAATGAATACTAAGAAGGCAAAGAAAACCATAAAACATACTCATACAACGTTTTATATTGTAAGACTAAAAAGAACCTAGGGTGATTAAAAATGTTCTGAAATGTTTTAGAGCTCTGAGTATTAGAATAGGATTCTCTGGATCTATCAGTCTACATTATCTCTTCCTTCACATGCCAATGATATCTATTATAGAAATGTTATCCTGTCCTGGGGTTATGTTTACTGACAAGTTTGCTCCAGATATGTCTGCCATGTGAAATTATCAGATATGTGATCAGAGTTGAGAGTTAAATTCCTGGTAATCTTGTCTAAAATGAGCATGGCTTTCAGAATATAAAATTAAAATTAGGATTGTTTCATTGTAAAGATGCAAAGTATGCCAATGCAATGTTAACCATTCTCTGTACAAGATGTCTCTGTACGGGCATGTAGAGGGTCAGTACTAAAGCCAGTCTCAGGGACTTGTGCATGACAGGCAGGTGTCCTACAACCGAACAATACTTTGCATCCTCTTGGTGGTACTTTTATTGTGATGTTGTGCTCCAATTCAGATTTTTCACTGTGCGTTTTTGTTTCACAGTCTCAGGTTCAATTTTGTGGTAGATGATGGAAAGATTTTGCTCTGAGTTCATAAATATACAAAAGCAACCATGTACCTTTACACTCCATTGGTTATTAAGTCACAGTAAGTTTTGCATGTTGTATAAAGAAGGACCTAAGTATAGCACCACAGTAATCACAGGGTCTTTTAACTGCAATTAGTCAGCTAGTCTCTGAGTCCTCCATCCTGGTGAAGCCCAGTAACTTTGAATCTGGCAAAACCAGACTAGTTCTAGCTCCAGAATAAGGGCTGGTGAGTGATTTCTTTGTGGCCCTCAGTTTTATAAGCAACCTATTTTTGATTGTAAGTTTTCTTGGAACAAAGCCTCTCTGATTCATTTACATATTTGTATGAGTGCTTTTACCAGAGATGAGCGCTTATGACAGAAGGTAGCTTTGAAAATAATATTTACTGAAGTCCTTTTACAGGAAAATCACTAATTGTTGGTCTAGAGAATGTGTTCCATATTTTTATTAGCTAATCTTGATGAAAAAAACCTTTGCTAGCATTGACTTTCAAATTTTAAAATTTTAGAGGCTTTAATAGATATGCAATAGTATGTCATAGTAGGTTTAACTTATAATTTCTTGCTGAATAGTGGTAGCAAGCAGGATTTTATGCTTATTAGTCACTTACAGATTTTGTATTTGTACTTCTTAATTGTATAATTTAAACACTTTTGTGCTCACCCTTTATTATCTCTGATTGGAAGGAGTTTGTTTTTGGTACCATCTCTAATTCCATTTGGATGTTTATGTAGTTTGAACATTATAATAGTCTGTAGCTTCCATTTCATGTTTTTTGATAATTGGCTTTGAAGAGCTCTGATATTTATCAGCCTTAAACATTTTTGTGGTTTCTCTAATAATTCATTCCTACCAAGATCAAAAGGGCAAGTATCTACTATTTATCAACAGGATTATGCCCTCAGTTTATAAGTACAGGTCTACACCTTTTCATTTCAAGTTAGCCTTTATGCTCTAAGGTGTAAAGAACTGCTGGCTACGGTATTTAACGGGAAGCAAATTCCCCTCCCCAGCCTCATCAAGTCTCTTACAGTGACCTCTGTTTCCATGGTGCCCTCCTCAGGGCATGCTTCACCTCAGCATTCCTCAGGCTGTAGATCAGGGGGTTCAGCATGGGGTTAAAAAGACTGTAAAACAGGGACAGGATCTTCTGTTGCTCCTCAGGATGCTGGGACTTGGGGGCCATGTACATGACAATGGCACTGCCAAAGAAGAGCCCTACCACACAGAGGTGGGATGAGCAGGTGGAGAAGGCCTTCCTCCGGCCCTCCCCTGACTGGATCCTCAGGATGGCACCCAGGATGCGGGTATAAGAGGCCAGAACCAGACACAGGGGCCCCAGTAAGATGAACACACAGGCTGCAAAGATGACGACTTGATTGAGCCTGGTGTCTGTGCAGGCCAGCTTGAGGACAGACAGGATTTCACAGAAGAAGTGATTGATTTGATTAGGCCCACAGAATGGCAGCCTCAGGATAAGGACTAAATGGACAAGGGCCAATAGGAAGCTAAGTGCCCACGAAGTGGCAGCCAAGACAGCACACACCCTCCAGTTCATGATGACCATGTAATGTAAAGGGTAACAAATGGCCACATAACGATCGTAGGACATCACCACCAAGATCAGGCACTCTACATGAGCAAAAGCCAAGTATAAAAATGTCTGCATTATGCATGGAACAAAGAAGATGGTTCTTCTTCGGGTCACAAGACTCACCAACATCTTGGGGACATTGTTTGAAGCATAGGATATATCCACAAGAGCAAGGTGTGAAAGAAAAAAGTACATGGGGGTGTGCAGTCTGGGGTCCAGGCAAATGACCCCAAGGATGAGTCCATTCCCCAGAAGTGTGCAAAGATAGAGGAGAGAAAAAAGTCCAAAGAGGACATGCTCCAGTGCTGGGTCAGTCTGAAATCCCAAGAGGGTGACCTCTGTGATGCGTGTCTGGTTGCTGCCCATGCTCTTGTGACAAAAACCTCATCTCTTACAAGATGTGATGGTCAGAGCTGTGAAGCAAGGGCATCAGATATTTAGTGACTGTTACAGAGAGAGCATGTACAATTGTGTCACTTATGGTGTATCTCTTAGAATTTGTCTTCACCTGTGTTTCAAATACCAACTCAGCATGACCATTAGAATGACAAAAGGAACACATACCAGTGCAACAGCAAGCAAATAAATACATATATCAATATTATTCTCATATATATTAATATTAATATAATGATATCTATTTAATGTACTCTATATTGCAGGATATACTTATACACATAGATGCTTGCATTGATTTGTAGAATTTATGTGATCTCGCTTTCCTTTCAGAGTGGACATCTTGGTTATTAAGAACTTTGAAATGAAATGATGTCAACAATATTCTACAGCAGAGGAAGTTTCCTTTTCTGAGCTTGATTGCTTCTGAGGACAAGAAGTGATCACATCTTTATATGTTTGCTCTGTGGTCACTTATCTTTTCTCACAGTTCAGATGTCTGAGTAAGTTCTAGATTTTTGAAGTTGCTCAAAAACTCCCAAAGGCCTTTCTTACTGGCATCTATCCAGGATTTTCCGAGAGTACCTTCTCCTGTTTTCCAATTCCTGTGGTGAGTTTTATTTATTTACTTTTTCATTTGTGCTTGAAACTAAAATTTAGCCATAGATTAAAAAGTTCTTTGGCTATATACAATGTCTGCGAGCAATATTTTAAGAACTCTTAAGAATTATGATATTTCTGCATTCTTTTAAAATAAGAAACTCAAATGGGAAACCGATCCATGTGAACAGTATTTACATTAAAAATGAGAGCTCTGGGGTTGTCCTATTTTTGGTACTTCTCTTTTTCTTGATGTAATACAATGAAAGTCACAGATTTGGTCCTTGATTTTTATTGTGGTAGAATCTTTTTATTTTAATTGTATCCTCACAGTTCTGACATCTCTAATTGACATCAAACTCTGCCCACTTTTTGCCTCCTCCCACGATCCTAGCCAGAAGCCTATTGAGTTCCCGTGGACTTTGAGCAGGTCATAGAGATGGGAATGGTGGAATTAGTGCTGAGTTTTTTCCAGGGACCTCTGCTCTGGAAAGCCCTGAGTCTGCTCCACCACCAGAGAAAGACAAACAAGGAAAGAGAACAATAGATTCACTTAGAAGCCATGTGAGCAGGGATGTCTCTTTCAACTTGCTTCACATTTCTTCATCAACATCTGAATCTTCATTTTTAAATCATGCTGAAGTTTTATATGCAACAGAGTATTTTCAAACATTATTTCAATATTCATTCTTTAGTGAAAATTTAGAACCCTCATGATTCCCCATTATGTGGCCTTGAAACCTTATAAAGTTTTCACTTATTAATTGGAAAGACTTTATTCTGGCCTTCTTGATATGGAAATATTTGAAGCTATAGTATACTAAGTTGTATTCAAATATTTCATGGAAAAAGACAGACACTATGGTAACTACTATTAAGTTGGGTTATTTGGTGGTGAAGCACTAGGTTGCTGAAACTGTCATTATTTGACCTGTATTGTTATGTTGTTATGTCCTCTTTTATCTCAATTTCTCCCTTATTCATTAAAAAATTATTTAGTTATTTTTATGGTTTTTTTTAATTGAGGGGAAAAATTTTAAAAATTAGCAGGATATATAGTAGTAACTTTTTTTGATTTCCTAGTAACTTGTTTTGAAGTCCTGTAATACTCCCACTATCTTGGTTTGACTGATTAGACTCTGTTCCATTCTGTATGATAGTATCAAGTTTGAGGGTATAGGCAACTACTTTAAAGGCAAAAAGATTCACTATGATGCCCATTCTGATTTGACTATTATCTCCTTTCGAAGTCCTGTAATGTTTACAATGTTTAAGTTTTATTCGTCTTGTTCTCTACTGTTTTGTTCAACGTTATAATACCTAATGAGATAGACAATTCTTTTTAAGGAAACAAGAGACATTATGTTAACCATTGTTGATAACCTTGTACTCCGTTTTTACATCAAGTACTGTGTCTATCCTTGGTTTTGAATGACAGCTTTGTTTTGCCATATTTGACTTTATTCTCTTCCAAAAAAAGTAATAAGAAATAAGGTATAATAAAACCCAAAATGTGTAAATTTTGTTGTAAAAAAAGAGAGGAAAAAAAGTGTTCTAAAGGATACAACTGCAAGTGTGTTTAGGGGTGTTAAATAGCTGACCATATTAATGTTTTTGGTTGGATCATTGAACACAACTGTTTGCAGTCTCTGTGTTTGAATGTTCACTTTGTATGCTTTGATACTGTGACTTGAGCAACTATCTCTAAGATGATAATGTGTAATCTATTAACTGGTGATTTTGTTACAGTTTTTTTTTGTAGTTCTGTATCACTTGTACCCTTACACCGCTTTGTTTTGTTTTGTTTTTTCTCTTTTTCCTTTTAAATAAAATTTAAAAAAAACTTAGATCCTCAAATATACACACTTATCTATAAACAGATTTGAATGGAGTTATACAGGCACTAGTTACTATTTTCACTTACGACAATGTTTTCTGTATTAAAAATGCATTGTATGTGATAAAGCAAATGAATATTAACTTATGTAAAATATTACATGAAAGCAAAACAGAGTTTTTAATATCATAATTACTGAATGTTTTACTGCCCCAAATGGGTTACACGGCCTGTTCTGTTTATTTCTAGCTAAAAATCAAGGACACAACAGTTTGGAAAGATAGTTTTTTGATGAGACATAGGAGACTCACAGGAGGAAAGATGGCTTTGAAACTTAAAAAGAAAGGACAGAAGCTGAGCCCCAGGGGAGCCAGCCTGCTTGAGAGAGTGTGCTGGACCCACATGGGGACAAGGCCACAGGGCTCTCGCTTGGAAGAGAGGTTCTCTTGGTGCCTGCACCTGGCCAAGGTTCTGGCATCTTGGCAATCATAAAGGAAAGCTATTGGATTCCACTTGTGAAATGGTTAGAATTGTTAGGGTAAACAAAGTTCATAATAAAACAGACTGAAATGATAGTTTGCCATATGACTTTTCAAAGGAAATTTCTGAAAGGAGGAAGTATAAACTATTTCTAAAAGACAAAAATAAGTGGGCAGCAGGCACAGCTGGGAGAAGCAGCCAGCCCAGCCCTCATGTGCACTCCAGCTACCCTGAGGACTCTCACACAGGCAACCAGCATGGGCAGGGAGATACAGTCAGCCCAGCCCCCCATGCATGCATGCATGCAGGCCACCATCAACATCTGTGGCAGGTAGCAAGTGTGAGCCAGGAGAACCAGCCAGCCATGCCTTGGAGATGCTGAGAATGTCTAGAGAAGCCAACTCCACACCCCACTGTCTCTTGCGGAACCTAGGTTAGCAGAAATCCAGGGGCCTAACCTATACCCTTACACTGTGGATGTATAGCCCTAGTGGGATGTGCATGGAACCCTACCAACTGCTCATATGATGGAACCCAGGAAAATGCCCAAATGAAAGAATGAAAGGCAACCTATGGCCTGCAGCCCAAACAGAAGAAATCCAAGAGACATAGATATGGAAGAAAGTGAAAGTTGCACACCTGAAATTTCTAGGATAAATGCAACCAAAGTAAAGAAACTACTTCATGAGGCTATAAGAGGAATCAGATCAGAAATAATATCTCAGGTAAAAGAAGAAATTATTAACATAATAAAAGGGTTTAATTTCTAAAGATATATATATATATATATATATATATATATATATATATATATAGAGAAGCATAGGAGAATGAGGGAAACTTGAATGAACATTATAGAGAAGAATTGGAATGCATGAAACAGACTCAAAGTGATATGCAGGAACTTGAAAACTCCACTGAAAGCTGGAAAGGTTGCTTGAAAAAAATGGACGATAGACTTTCCGCCCTTGATGACAGGATGGCAGCTAGCAATTGCATAAGGAAAGATCTTTAAATAATAAGGAACCAGGAAATAACAATTCAATGGCTGCAAGATGATGCAAAGAAAAATAATTTAAGAATGATAGATGAAAAAGAAAAAGTTAACACAAATGACTTAAAGAGACTATATAGAGAAATAATAGAGAACTACCCAAGCTTGGGAAAAGAACTAGATATACAGATAAGTGAGGCATGTAGAACTCCAACTAGTTATACCCGAATAAATCTACACACATACATGTAATAATCAAGACCTCAAATATTCATCACAGGAATAGAATATTAAAAGCTATTGGAGGAAAGAAACAGATCACTTATAAAGGAAGCCCCATCAGAATCACAGCATACTTCTCGTTATAAACTAAGTTAAGAAGTGCTTGGAGTAAAATACTTCAAAACCTGAAAGAAAACATTTCCTAACACCTATTGATGTATCCTGTAAACTATCTTTCAAAATTGATAGAGAAATAAGATACTTCCATGGCGAAGAACTACTGAAGGAATTCAGGACCACCAAACCAACCCTACAAAGAGTACTGAAGGGTGTTCTAGAAAGAGATAAACGTAACACTGGTCCCAGGATTGGAAGCAAAGTGACATCATGTAGTGGGGCAATCAATTCAATGGAGGGGAAAAGTAGGGAGCCAATAGCAGGAAAAAAGCAAGGCAGAGAAGAGCCATGCATGTTGACCATAACCATTAGTGTAGATGGACAAGATTCACCAATAAAAAAACACAGGCTGAGTGGAGCAAGAAACAAGATCCACGAATACATAGTATACAAGAAACACATTAACTTGAAAGGAAATTCACAGATTGAAAGTCAAAGGAGAGAAAATAATGCTTCATGTGCTAGGAAACCAGAAAAGGCAGACAGCTTACATATCAACCACAGAACAGATGAGAAATGTGTGACATTTTTATATAATGGAAAGCTACTCAGCTATAAAGAAAATTGTGAAGCTCTTGTAGCTAAATGGATGAAACCTGTGATCATACTCTTGGGTGAAATGGTTCAAACTCACATAGGTTCACACCATGTTGTTTCCCTAGTATACAAAACTAGTTTGTGTACAAAATGTACAATAGATATTGTGAAAATGAAAGGGGAAGTCATGTCTGAAAAAAGAAGGCAATAACTATTGTTAATTCCCAATTATTTTGTTTTAAAACACTGTATCATTTTATTGTTTTATATTGATTGGTATTATTCTGTTTTGTTTGGTTTGATTTTATTATATCTGATGGCATGGGCAGTTATTTTGAAGAAAACAAGTTATATTATGGTAACCAATGGTAACCATTGTTGATTTCCTGCTATCTTGTTTTGAAGTCCTGTGTCACTTTCACTGTTTTGATTGGCTTTTTTCTGTTTTATTTTGTTTTTATTATTTTTGAAAAAGACAAGAATAGATCAGGGAGCAAATAGAATTCTTAATGAAACAACCATCTGCATCCCCCTACATTATATCCAGACAGATCTGTGTGTCACTTGGACTTTTTAACACTTTCCTAGCAAAAGTCACAAAGGGATATACCTTACACACACACAGATGGCTCATCAGCTCAGTTGTGAAGCCAAGGAAACTTAAAAATACGTAGTCCTGTAAAAGTGAAAGCTTCTTCTCTTAATTATTGGCACTGTTTTGTATTTCATTGTTCAATTAGTGAGATGTTTTTCTCTTTGAAAAAGACTGTGTCAGAGAGAATGAAGACATGGATGGCTTAAATGAATACTTCTCTAGCTAAGCATTACAAAGTGACCTTGAATGAGCAAATGAAGAAAAACTTGTATGGGTATGTTTCTCTCCTCTTACATAGCATGAAAAATGGGCAGAGATGGATGAAAACATGATCTCTGAGAAAGACATGAAATAAAAACTGTTAATAATGTCCCTAGCCAGCCAGTTTGATTCTGAATTAGAAACTATATATTTGAAAAAAAATTTAAACCTCATTATTTTTATGGTTTCCAAGATTAAAGCAGATAGTTAAAGTGTTGATGAAGAAAAAGTACATAATACTGATATTTCTCTGTTTTTGTTTTTTGGAACCAAAAAGTGAAATGACCTCATGCATACCAGACAGGTACTTGTATCACTGAGCTAAACTCCCAGCCTAACACTATCTCTTAACAGCTTAATACATGTTATCTATTATTAACAGGATAGCAGAGACCACAAATATAAGGGAAAAAGTTAAATCCTTGGGATTAAAAACCAAACAATCAATATCGCACTACAAACTCTTTCCCACTTAGTTTTTCCCATTTACCCATTTGCCCTTCTTTCTGCACATTCTGAAATTTTAACTAAAAATAAACTTTACTTCCATTAGTTTTTAATTGTGATTTTAAATTTTAAAAGGTATCTAAAGACATATAATTCATTAAAGTAATGTCACTCCTGTGTTAAAGAAAATGCAAAATTTTAAAATCACTAGTATTTCTGCTATTTTGAATATCTAAGAGAGGCCATAGATAGTATAAATTCTACTGAACCTTTGCAACTACTCGGAAGTACTTACCATTTCAGTAGTTACTTTGACACTCAGCTGGATCCCGACGAATTTCACAATTTAAAAATGATGAATGACTCCACAGCCTCATTGTCGGGGGTGCATTTCTCTCTTTCTTAGATTCTCGCTTTTTATCTTCTTGGTGTTGCTACCTGCCTAATTTCCTCCATCTGAAAAATAGAACCAATAATTCATGCTACCTCATAGTGTAGTTATGAGGATTAAATGAGTCAATGTAACTCTCACAAGATATTTAAATGTGTGCTGGTATTTGTATTATCATTATTAGAGATTTGAGGTTCATAATTGGAGAGTAAATTTTGGGTCTAATAGTCATAAGCAACATGTTATGTGCTTTCCAGCTCCTCTGATGAAATGAGGAACAAAAGAGAATGCTGGCTTTCCTGTGGAAGAGGACCTGATCTCTCTCCTGCACACTGAAAAGTGTTCTGAAGGAGGAGAAGAGTCTCCTGATGCTCACAGGCGTGGGCAGCTAGCAATAAAAGAGGAAGAACATTCTGAAGACAAACACACCACCAAACTCCTCTGTCCTCAGGGCTTTTATTTTTAAGGGAAGGCCCCTGGACCACACAGCCTGGACATTCTTTGTAGCCAGTTTGACTATATCCCATGTGAGTGTTACCTGACTCTTCTCTGCCACTGTCATGACAAAGCCAAGAGCTTCCACAGGATAAAGGGAGCATGTATAGAAGGTCCAAGATAATGAGACAAACACTGGTCACAAGATGGGTCATCAGTGCATCAGGTCAGGATCTGGTGAGAAATAGAGCCAAAGTTCAGTAGAATCCCATGCAGCAAAGCATTTTGTCACAAACACCTGGAGCCTCAAGTTTCATTTGCCTTACTTTACCTCCTTCCCACCTGAGGACCATATCTGAGGACAAATAAACCAGAGGCATGACTGTATTTTTCTTCAAACATAGCCTGACACTTGGGAGAAATGTCAAGTAGAGGAAAAACAATACTGCAGTTGGGAATCATTTTGCTCTCTACAGGGCCCTCCCTGGGAGACAGGGCCCAGACTCAGAGCTCCTTGAATACACTGACTTCTGCAAATTAGACCTTTGTTATCACCCTTTGAATATAACGCACTCCCTTCAGACATAAATAATGAACCAGAGGCAGAAAAACATGGCATTGTCTCTATTCACACCCCTCCCCATGACCTCAAGAGAACTGAAGAATTTGCTCCTTTCCAGTCCACAGGTGAGGTAATGAGAAATCTGTCATGTTTATTTTCCCTGTTTTTTCTATAAGTCCTTGGAATGTGTTTGTCTGTAGTTGAGTGGAGTCACGATTTCTGTAAAAGAGAAAAGATGGGGTACAGAAAATTTAAGGATATCATAAGTTAAACTGTCTCAAAAGTTTTATATTTTATCAATCTTAAAATCACCAATGCCTGAGCACATAACCTGTCATGGTGGTCACAGGTCCCAAAGACCATCTTCAGGCTTCACCACAGAGATGATGGCTTTTCCCAAAGGAGAATAATGACTGCAAAATAATCTCTCCAAATTTCTCAAATTGATTTTTCATTAACATATAGAATTAAATGGGTGAATTGTGTGGTACATGTCACTTCAAAAAAGTGGTCTCTGGTTGCTTTTTACTTAATCCTCATGTGTGGCACAAATAGTTTGATAATTTACAAAGAAAATAACAAGTACACAATATCACAGAGAAATTTTCTTAAAGGATTAGGATTAAAGCTCATAAGACATTTTTTTATAGCAGAGAAAAAACAAAATGTTTCTGCCCAGGGAACTACACAAAGAAAAATTTTGGGGGATAGTGCTGCGCTGTTATGGGATCAGGAAGGTGCAGCATCACAAAGACCTACAACGACAATAGGAAGACATAAAATATGTCAACTGTGCCCTACCAGAAAGAACAGGGAAACAAAACACGTGTGCTCTCAGTGTAAGTGGTGCTTGCGTATGGAACATGCAGTTATCATGTGAAAAGACAGCTTTGGGTAACAAAGTTGAAGTAAAGCTTATTTTTGTGGTAGAGTTCTATTGTTGTCTTCATTGGTGTTCATAGTGGAATTTATTTCTGATGTTATCTTTTAGATATTATAAGGAAGTACACAACTGATGTGAAGACGTTGATGTTTCTTATGCACAATACATAGTAAGAATTTAATAATTTAATTTATTGATATTTTATGTTCCTGTTAACTACATACTGTATAAGGTAATATAAAACTTCTGAAAATCAACAAGATCCCTGAGATGCCAATTATGTCTTAGAAAACAGCCAGGAAAGCAAAAAGGCATCTACCATCACTATAGGTAATGCATGTGTATAGAGCATGTTTCTGTCATGTGTGCAGGTTGGCTTAGGTATGAAAATTGAAGTAAAGAATATGTTTTTGTAGAGTGCTTTTGGTATTTTCATTTTAGTTCATATGGGAATTTATTTCTGATATTCTATTTTAGACTTTGTACACCAAAAACCAGTTGATGCTGAAAATTTTGATGCTTTATTCTAAACACTCAATAAATATTACAAACTCAATACATTATTTTTGCGATATTTTTCCTGTTAATCACTCATTGATTAATATAGTAAGACTAATGCAATTATAACTAATAATTCATCAATAAAAATATTCTAAAGAATAAACATTAATCTGTCAGATGAAATGAATCTTATGCTCCAAGTTCTAAAACAAAGCAAATTCGATTATTTTTTAGTATAAATAATCTCTATTACCAAAATCCTCACTCTAATTACCGCACTAATTCTCCAACACACACCACTTCAAGTACTGTTCCCAGGTAGCTCAAACCCTTCAAATTGTCAGTTTCTGACCAATTTTAAGCTTATTTTAACAACTTTACTTGAAATATAATACCAATTCCTCAAAAAGAGCCCTCTTCATACATCTCAACCCAGACTGACCTCCTCTCTGTGACAGAACAAAACTCTTAAAATTAGTGTTCTTCAAGGTTCTATTTAAACAAACTTTTACTTTTAATATTTCTTATTGTTCATCTTTCTTACAAGACAAAATGAATTAGAGAAGAATGAGACAAGAAAGGCACAAGCCGATGGCCAGCCTGAATAATTCAGTAACACTATCTTAATATTGAAAAAATATGCAGAAAAAAAACCACATGAACAAACCTGAAGACAGACATTGAGACCTGGAAGACACGATCAAGCCTACTGACTGTGAAATAACCTAAGGCCCCCTAACTATCACGCCGTGAAGCCTGTTCTGTATAAGCCCGCCTGCTGCTTTCCCTCCTCTTCCTCCTTCAAATCTAACTAGGTTAAGTTTTAACTTCCTAAAAGGCCATAAAACAAAGGCCTGAGGTAATAGCTTCTGACAACCCCTTCCCTACCTGGTAGCCCATCACAAATTCTGTTAATTGCATTAGATTGTACTATATTCTTCACAAAAATAGCTTCGTTATATTTGTATCATAGCAATACCTGTAACTTGGCCTTACTGTCTGTGTTTTCCTATTCCCTTGGATGACCTAACTGAAATGTTAATCAATGCTCTCCTCTGTAAAGAACTGTAAAATCTTACCTAATTGATATGTTACCCATTGTTGCCCTCTACAAATAACAGTTGTGGTGCTGAAGTAGGGTAACTAAGGTTGTTAATTGCTGTTAGACTTCTCTATTCTTTGCTAAGAAAAACAAGATTTCTTGTTATCTAAACTTGCTTGTATGCAGGGAGACTTGCTTGTTAGCACAACCCTTACCTGATCTTGCTCTTCCCAAGATGGGTAATCGCCATTTCACCCCCAGCCCCTTCCTTACATTGTGTGACCAGCAGCTGTTTGTGGATTTACAAGATAAAAGCCCTGACTTTTAGCTGTCAGGTGCGCAGTCTCCAAATTGGCTCCTGGAGGCTGTGTCACCAGGCCTGGAAATAAAGCCTTTGCTTCCCAAATTTTAATTTCTTGCTTCCTTGGATTTTATACTGGGGTCTGAGTTATCACATTTGGGGGCTCGGTCCGGGATGGGAGCAAGACCCCAGACCCATTTCTAAACATCTGAAAGTAAAGTAAGTACTCTGGGGGAGTTTGTTTGGGCCACGGTCAGTTCTAGTTGTATTCTTGGAGGGGACGCCCTCAAAATTTGGCAGTGGGCACCTCCCGAGGACAGAGTCAATTGGTTTTTCGGACAAATTCCATCCGTCTGTGACTCTGCCCTGGATGGGGAACCGCTCCGTTAGGAGGGGGACACCCTTAATTTGGGGAGTGAAACCTCCCGAGGACAGAGTCAATTGGTTTTTGCCATTTGTGACTCTGCCCCGGCTAGGGAACCGCTCCATTGGTTAATTTGTTAATTCCTCCAAATCCCAAAATTTGACTAATTTTTGAGCAAAGGCCATTTTGCTGCATCTTGTCTTGTCTTGTATGTCTGTTTGTGTGTCCATTTGTTCTAATTGTTCTCCTTTTGGTTACCCCAAATCTAACAGAACATTCTCTCCTAGGAACCCCTTTTATGAGCCCGAAATGGACTAAGGGGTTTAGATACTTATGTTCAGAGTTTTTGTACTTTAGAATTGTTTGCCTGTTTAAATTTGTTACTAACTTAGGGGCTTGTTGCCCATTTCTGTTGCAGGATCCATATGGCTTATTAGATTCAAGGTTCTTAATAAGAAAAATTATTTCCTTTAGCTCACCAAACTGTGCACAAAGCACCCTTTGTTTGTGTCTTTAATGTTATGGCGCCTTGTTTAATATGTAAGTCTTCAATTGATTGCTTGCAACCTCGGCATGCCTTTTAAAAGGAGTATTTTTCGTTCTGGTTAAAATGTAAACATATGTGCACATATACATGTATATTTATAGTTTTTAAGAAGAATCATATCAACTTTACCAAGTAAAAACCAGGTCGTACTATATTTGAGCCAGTTAAAAGGTTACAGTTTTGTTTTTAAAATATAGCATTTTTATGTGGTAAAAAGACATAAAATAATTAAATATGTTTTAGACTACTAAAAGGTGACTTCAAGGGTTTTGTTGAGAGCTTTTGATGTTGTCTGAGAAGCAAGAGGAAAGGTAATTGACTGGTAATAGTAAAAAAAAGAGGGACAAGGAAAATGGTTTTGTCTTCAAGTAAAAATGTCTGGCTGTCCCAGAATGTGAAAAAAGATAAAAGCTTAACTTGGGGGGTGTATTGTAAATTGTAGAAGGTTCAAGAGGATGTGAATTTTATTTGTCTTGGTTTATAGTACTGCAAATAACAGGTTTGACAAGTTTCTTCGAAAAAAAAAACCAATCTTATCAAAAGAAGGAAGAAAAATTGTGCATTGAGGAATTAAAAGGGTGAAATAAAAATAGATCCTGTGGAAATTCAGAAAGTCTTCAATACCTACTTCAAAAATCTACACTTGTTAGGATGGAAAACAGAAGAATTAGATTCCTAGAAACATATGAAAAGAATCAAGAAGATATAAACCTTCTGCATAACTCCAATATCAGGGAATAAAGTGGAAAATGTAACTAAAAACCTAACAGCAAAGAAATCTCTAGGTTCTGGTAGATTCACAGCTGAATTCTCCGTGAAATTTTAAAATGATTTAACATGAACACAGCTCAAAATCTTTAAGGAAATTGATAAGAAAAAAATTCTCTCTACCTCATACATAGAGGCAAATATTACTCTAATACCAAAACCAGAAAAAGACCCAACCTAAAAAGAGTGCTACAGGCCAATGAACATAGATGCAAAAATCCTCAGTAAAATACTACCATACAGGATACAGCAAATCTACAACAATCTTTCTAATGAACATAGATGCAAAAATCCTCAGTAAAATACTAGCATACAGGATACAGCAAGTATCCTGCACTAGCATACAGGTTACAGCAAATCTGCAGGAATCTCCATGACCAAGTGAGATTAATCCCAGGAAGGCAGGCATGGTTCAACATATGCAAATCAATAAATGTAATGCATCAAATAAACAGAGCCAGAAACAAAAACTACACGATCATCTCAATAGATGCAGAAAAACTTTTGATAAAGTCCAACACTTATTTATGATTTAAAAATCCCTACAAAAATCAGAATAGATGGTCTTTACCTCAATCTGATAAAAGCCATCAATGACAAAACAACAGACAACACCAACTAAATCAACAAAAATTAAAAGCTTTCGATCTAAAATCAAGATTGAGACAAGAATATCCACTATCACCATTCCTATTCAAAATAGTTCTGGAAACATTAGACAGAGCAATTAGAGAATAAAGAAATAAAAGGAAGGAGAATAGGAAAAGAGTATGTTAAATTAAAATTATTTGCAGATGACACACTATATAGAATACCCCCAAAACCCCACCAAAAGACTTCTAGGATTAATGAACAAATTCAGTAGCCAGCTAGCTCTAATGTCAATAATCAAAAACATAGCATTCTTGTACACAAACAACAAAGTCACTGAGAAATAAATTAGGGAAATCACAGCCTTCACAATAGCAATTTAAAATTTGGAAATACTTAGTAATCAATGTTACAAAGGATATAAAAGATGTATACATTGGAAATTACAGCTTTATAAAAAATGAGATTCAAGAAGATATCAGAAAATGGTAAGATTCTCTTTCACATTGGCAAGAAGA